GCAAGAAAGCTGACTACGTTCCAGTTGATAGAGAAATGGTAATTCAGAAAAAGCGCAAAGAGCTCGAGATGGCAATTCATGAGGCATTTTTGAGGTTAGTTCAGTCTATTATGCTGGATGCATTGTGCTTTTGAAGCAATTATTTGCTACTAAACTGCTTTTATTCACGTTTGGTGGCATAAATTGATATTGTATGAGCTTTCAACTTTGCTGGGGCCATTTTCAGGTTCATGGCTAACTTGATGCGAGGATATCAGTCGTTTCTAAAGCCTATAAAAAGTGCTCCATCTTGTGTAAATGCAACTGACACCGGCAATCTTTTCGATCTTGATGGCTTTTTGAAGTCCAGAGATAAGTCTGGTGTTGAATTTTTCAAGAGGTATGCTTTTCGGTCATAGGAACAAGTTATCGGTTTCGTAGCACTAACTCCATTTATAGTTTTGTTACTTTTATATATCTTGATTTGTTTATCAGATTCTGCGCAACCCAATCTTTCATTCGGTTCATTGAAGAAAGAAGTTTTGTTTCTGATAAGAACACCTACAATGCTTTCTTTGATGACTGCATCGCGAAAGTGGATAGCAGTGGTCAGTCTACTGATTTTTCTCAGAATTCTTGCAACAATTGCTTTTAGAAACCGGGGACGTGTCTCTACTTGAGCTAGACGGATCTGCACATCTGAACAATACATCAGTAGGATTGGATTTTTTCGTATACTTATTTCAATTGTATCCAAAAGTTGCAGGTATTCATCGCTCCACCTGAACCAATTGTTGATCCAAAGACAGGCCTTGAGCGAGAATTCAAATACGATCGTTTTCCAAGGAAGTTAGACCCTGCCCTGTTCCAGCTGGACCATCTAAGCATGAACCGAGCAGATCAACAGGCCGTTCCGCTGCAATATGGTAGTCCAGCTACTCTAATTTGACTCAGCTAATTTATCTACCTGCTGGTCATTTCAGAATATAATCGTTGCGCTGCGGTGAGAACCAAGCCTGAAGTGAGATCATCGATGCTTGCTGCGACGAACTCTGTGCGGACAAATCCCTTGCATTGGCCAAAGACGCTGCTTTTCTACGCTTACTCTTTATGGTTTATGCAGCTTCCCAGTCTCGTTACTATCGCTCCCAACAAGAAGAAAATTCTTCTCCTTGCTTTTCATGTTAGTTTATTTCTTCTTCAGTTTATACCTTGGTATTAGCAATTTTGAAATGTTTTTGCCGCAGTTTTTTGAATTATCTATGCGGTACTTTGACGATTGACCCAATGATTGCTTTTCAAAGTTGCGGGGTATGAAGTAATATTACCATGCGCATTCTCACCTATGTCATGCATACCTTCGGCTCTCAAATTCGTATAGAAACGAAGTCTTGGCAGCACAAAGCGTGGCTGGTTTGATAGCGAGTGAAAACACAACAATGCCATAACAAGGAGTTTCAAAGATCTATTCTCATAATCAGGAAAAGTCCGCACATCTGCCTCTATACGAATCTGGGAGCTAATGGTACTAATAGCATTTTCTCAAGCCGAATAGGAAGAATCATTTTCTTTTTAGCTTGTGTATTTAGCGTATGGTTAATGGGATAGTTGTTCTCTAAAGTTTGTTTAGTGAGTAGGCGAAAATTTCTTTGAAGATATTGGATCGCATGGAGCACACCGAAGTTTTTCCATTGGACCAAGTTTGCTATCGAATATTGATCGAACTTTGCGGGGAATGTGGCGAGCCCTCGCTGGCAGTAAAGGTCCTTCAGGTTAGTTTGATCTATTGCGTCAATGTTTTTGTTCCTTTTACAGCTTATTCAAGTTTATAACTAAGTAACATATCGATTGCAAGTCTTTGTGAAGTACGATTGAGTCTTGCATTTTATTTGATTACTATGTGAGTTATCAAAAGTGTCGTCAGGCAGGCTTGTTAACACAAATGGTTTTTTTGACATTCTGAATGAGGTTCAACTCTTGCTGTCTAAGTTGAAAACTCAATCAGTAAAGCTTCAATTGACCAAATTGGTTTCGGAAGAGCTTTTCAAGCATACAAACTATTTCATAACCTTTTGTTGCCTTCATACTTCTGTTGTTTGCACCAACAGCTGATATAAATCACGTTCTTGGAATGAAAGCAATGTGTTGTTCACTGGTTTTTTTTGCAGGCAATGCATCGCGCTGGTGTTGAGCAGAATGCTGTAACTTACGGCATTTATCACCGTGCTGTATTGGACGCAAAATGGCCGACACCTGCGAGGCAAAGAGCAATCGAAGCTTGGGCACAACTCAGGTAGTCGAGAATGTTAACGGACTTAGTATAAAAGGGGGCGCTCACCTGCAATTTACATGGCGCGAATTTCAAAAATTTAGTTCAACTGTTTTAACAAAGCAGTTACTATTCCGTTAAATTTAAACCCATTCGTTAAGTTGTATACCTCTATCAACACGTCTAGAATTGCTAAATTGGGGACCTGCAAAGTTTGCTTATGAAGAATTCGTCGCCCTATTAACCGGAAAAACGTCCTGGAAGTTCTGCTTGTTATAGTTATAATTATAGCAAGTTTGACCATTACTGAAGCTCCTTATATTTAAAGGCAGTGTCCCGGCAGATTTGAGGTTGGTGAGT